AAAAAAAAAAAAAAAGTTAAAATATGATAAAAACATTGGAAATTAAGAATAATGCAATAAGGAAATAAGAGTGTAAAGATATATATAACTAGGTATGTTTAGTTATTTGTTGTTGAAGGGTAGTTGGACAAACAAATGTCTTCTGTGTTTGCAGATTTTGGCTTTAATTTTAAAAACTTGTCCTTTTTAAGGAGTAATAATCATTGTAAAACATTTCTTGTTCTAGATGCTCCAAGTACCTCTATAGTTCTTGAACAATTGAATGAGGCTGTTAGACCTCTCCGGGACTATGGGATTTCAGTTGCAAAGGTAAAAAGATATTTATGTTAGTAAAACATTAATGACAAACATTATATAATTGTGTAAGTTAGGATTGAGTATCTAAAAATACTTTAGCTTTGTTTTACAAACTGAACAGTATTTTTTTCTTTTTTGTATAAGAATAGAGGGAGGGAAGCAGGGCTGGGGATTTAGCTCAGTGGTGCCTCCGCCTGCCACCTGCCTCACAAGTGCAAGGTCCTGAGTTCAATCCTGGTACCAAAAAGAAAAAAAAAAAGAAAATAGAAGCACAGAGAGTTTCTGATCGTGTCACATAGTACATGCAGAGGGGAAAAACTATTTAAAATTTGTTGTTTGGTTTTTTCTTTTTGTTGTTTTTTTAGTGGTGCTGGGGATTGAACTAAGGACCTTCACATTTAGTTCTATCCCCAACCCTTTTTATTGATTTATTTTTTAAAATTTTGAGACAGGGTTTTGTGAAGTTGTCAGATTGTCCAGATTGGACTTCCTCTTGCCTCAGCCTTCCAGAGTATTGACACTGCAGGCCTGTGCCACCATTCTTGACATGTTTACAATTCTCTAGCTTAGGATTCCACTATTTTATAGCCCATTCTATTTGGATATAGTGTAGTTTTTCAAATTAATAGTTAGACTTTGGTTCTGTTTTGTTTTGCCTGGCAAATATTTCATAATGGATATAAACAATTCAACTATTTATTAAATTTCTATTAATACAAACTGGGGCAACAAAATTAAGGTAATAGAAGAATTTTTTTCTAAATCATTATAGTTGTGTATGTGGCAGCTTCTCTCATTTACTTTTAGAACAATTTTTTAAAACAATTCAGTTTGAAAGTACATATTTAACTTAGAGTATTATGTAAAGATTTTCACATGCGTCAGGCTTAGATAACTGCATAAACCATTTATTTTAAATTTGTAATTTGTACATCAAAAAACGGAATGGGAAATAACTCAGTGATAGTAAATTCTTTTAGATTAATGTACAGCTGCTATTCTTGTACATTTATTTTTTCTCAAGTCATTGGTCTACCTTCTCCAGAGATGTTTGTTTTCCTTCTTAATGTCTGCAGCTTGACCTTTCAAGGCAGAATGCATAGAAAGGTTAACTTTGGTGGTACATCCTAACAAACACATATCAAGAACCCCCTGTTTTTTAATGTGTCAATTCTGTATGTATAGGACTCTCGGTTAAAATTTCATTAAATGAATCCTCTGTAGAATGGTATTGGCATTTGTCTCTCAGGAGCTTTGAATAAAATTTTAAACTAAGATTTACCAAATGAAATAGTAAATTGATATGAACTTCAAAGGAATAATCATTTCTGTTTATTTAGAAACTAGTAGATTAGTATCTAGTACTGTCTTTCTGATAACTACTGGAATAGAATATTAAGATTTATGCCTAGGGCATTGCTATTATTAACATAATTTAATCTCTTGATTTCATGATCTAGAATGTGGAGCTATGTGGAAAGTACAAAGTGACAAGAGAAACCCATGTTATGTAGCTCTTTGATACAGTGAATGCTCTATACATTTGAGGCTGAAATGAGCTTACTGTATCCTACGTAGAGAGAATAAAACACATTCACAAAGTATTTCAATAACTAGCAAAATCTGATAACCGTATTGAGAGAGAGAGAGAGAGAGCGAGAGAGAGCGAGAGCGAGCTAGAAGTTTAAAGGAAAGAAAGCTTACATCTGATTATTGAAGTGGAAAGTCACAGATGGTGTTGGGGAAGACTTCACATAGAGTAGCATTTGAAAACATTTTTAAAAGTTAAGACTGCCAGAGACACAAGTGGATGAAGAAAACAGTAAAAAAAAAAAAAAAAGGACTAAATGTTCCAGTTAAGACAAAGATTGTCAAGCTGGAGACAATAACCAAATCCAACTGTATGCTATTTAGAAATGTGTCTAAAATAAAAGCATCAGAAATCTTCAGAATATATGAAGGAAAAAGATAACCAAGAGAATCTGGTGTAGCAATGTTACTGTGTCAAAGTCTATTTTAAAACACAAAGCCATTCAGTCATCCTTGATTTTTCTTTCTCTTATAACCTGCCCACCTACTACTAGATTCTACTCTCAAAACTTCAAATCTGACTCCTTCTTGTGCCTTTACTTTTTCTTCTTGTTGTCATCACTTCTCATCTAGGAAACCACAGGAATCTCCTAATTGTTGGCCTTTCTCCTTTCACTCTTGTTCTGCTACAAAGCCTTCTCCACATTCATCAGAAGCGACAGGACAGATTACTACCCTACCCAGGGAGGTTTCTTGTTACAGTTGTGATAAAATTGGGACCCTTGAGTCCTGCAAATTGGCTTTGTCTCTGATCTCATTTTTTTCCCTCTGTCCTGTTTAGTTTGTTCCTGATACATATTGATTATTCTGTGTAGTTTTTTTTTTTCTGCTCCAATACTGGGGCACCAAACCCCAGATGATGATTATTATTATTACTATTATTATTATTATTATTATTTTTTTTTTGGTACTGGGGATTGAACTCAGGTCCTTGCGTTTGCAAGGCAGGCCACCGAACCACTGAGCTAAATCCCCGGCCCAGCCCCAGATTATTATACCACGGAGTTAATCTCAGCCTCCCTTTATATATATATTTTGAGACAGAGTCTTGCTGAGTTGCCCAAGTGAGACTTGAACTTGGTTCTCCTGCCTCAGCCTCTAGAGTGTTAGAATTACAGGCTTGTGCCACTGTGCCCAGCTATTCTTTGGGTACTTGAACCTGCTGGAGGTTCTATTACCACATGGCCTTTGCAGGTGTTTTCCCCTCTGCTTAGAATTCTTTTCTTCTACATAGTTATATATTATATTTGTATGTATTAGTTTACTCTTTCTTTTCTACATTTTATTTTAGCTCTTAACATATATTAACTAGTTTTTATTTTTTTATTTAGTTTAATTTCTTTTTTTTTTTTTTTTTTTTTTTTTTTGGTACTGGGGATTGAACTCAGGACCTTGCTCTTGCAAGGTAGGCATGGTGCCAAATCCCTGGCCTATTAATTAGTTTTTAACTTGTCTCTATAGAATGTAAATTTTAAGGGTAAAGATCTTTATTTGGTACTGGAGTGTACCCCCATTGACTAGAACAGTGAATGACATATGGTAGGTATTCAAATAAATGTTGAAAAGATGAATGAATGGATAGATCTAGTGTTATAATGTCACCCATCTGTATGATCTGAACTTTAAAAAGGATTTTTTGCCGGGCGTGGTGGCGCACACCTGTAGTCCCAGCACTCGGGAGGCTGAGGCAGGAGGATCATTGTGAGTTCGAGACCAGCCTGGGATACATAGTAAGTTCCAGGTCAGTCTCAACTATACAGTGAAACCCTGTCTCAAAAAACCAAAAAAAAAAAAAGGATTTTTTCCAGCCTCCCCAACTGCTGGTGATGGCCAGATCACTGGGGTGGAATCCCTAGAAGGCTCTTGACAGGAGACTGATTGCTGCTTTTTTTCTTCATCAGTTGACAAAAAACAGAGGAGATAGCCAGAGTACCGTTGGAATCATGGACCATACGGCACCCTTAGACAGGAAACCACTTGCTAAGGATGCTGCAAGAGAAAGAATGAATCTGAGCCCATGGTGATGTTAGAGCAGCCACACCAGCCCTGGGTAGCTTACAATGTAGAGTTTATGTGAAAAAATGTAAGGGCAGTCCTAGCACCAAATGAAAATAAAATGGGAGATGAAGGAGCACAAACATAATAGGAGCCAAGGCCCTAAAGGAAAGTCATAAAGGACAGAAGAGACTCGAGTCTTTTCACAAATACAGTAAGTAAAACTAAGTAAAAGGTTTGAGTGTAAATATGCATCCTGAGACAAAGAGGGAAAGGAAGGAAAGAAAAGAATGCAGGAGTTTCTAGACAGGGCCAATAGGTGACCACCAATGTAACTAACAAAAACTAAGGCTAGAAGAACAGTTCTTCAGCTTCAAATTTGGTAAGGTTTTTGATTTATGATGAAGATTTTTATTGTTGTTCGATTTAATTTTAATAGAGCTTGAGGAAACAATGACAACTAGGAAGTGACATTTTCTTAAAAAGCTAAAAAGAGGATCTGACAGGGAAGACAGCAGAAATAGTGAATCAAAATTAAAAGTCAGATTATAGGCATAACCAAAAGTGAATTATAGTGTACATATTTTTAAAACTTTTTTTGTTTTTTTGATACTGGGTATCGAACTCTAGACCTTGCACTTGTGAGGCAGGCGGCGGTACCACTGAGCTTAAATCCCCAGCCCAAGAAAAATGAATTTATTAGAGGGAAAAACTAGCAAGATATGCCATATCTGTGTTCAGCTGCTGAGATGCCGCCATGGTTCCAATTTATCACCCTCTTTTTATGCTTTCTCCCCTATTTTTTTTGTGCTGAAGTTGTACCCTCCAGGACCTTACACTTGCGAAGTACTAGCTCTACTACTGAGCTCCACCCTCCCCTGCTTCCTGACTTTTTCATATGCTTTTTTGCGCCTTCCTTTCAACCTAGTCTCCTACTTGTTCTGAGAGATTGAATTAATTGTGAACTCTTAGGTATAATTAAATATAACTCTGAGGTAAAGAAACAATTCCTTTCACATTTCCTCATGTGTTTGAGTAAGAAGTTACTGTTTACAAATCAGAAAAAAAGGGCCAGGGATTTAGCTCAGTGGTTCCATCACCTGCCTTGGAAGCGCAAGGTCCCGAGTTCAACCCCTGGTAAAAGGCTGTAGTGTTTAATTCTCCTTGTTTTCTTGTGGTATATATTCTAAACCTTAAATAAAATCTTTTAAAGGTTAATTGCGTCAAAGAAGAAACATCAAGATACTGTGATAAAGAAAAGGATTTGATGAAAGCATATTTATTCAGGTAAAATTTTTGAGTGTGATGTACAAATATAAAGTTATATTCTAGATATTCAGGTATGTAAAATATCAACTAAGCCACAATAAAGTTGAATTTAGTCGTGATTATGTGAAGTTTAGCAAAAAGTCCAAGCAGTATACTTGCTACCTGACCTCTCTGAACTTTAACTTCCTTACTTATAAACTATGAAGAAAAAAATCTACCTCACAGGGTCATTTTGAATGTTACATGAGAATCATGCATAAATTCCTACTATAAGAGCCTGCTTAAGTAAGCAGCAAATTTCACATTCCACTAGCAGTGTCAGTTCCATACTCCATGTACTCTCTTTTTGAGGAATCTGTCAGGGTCTAGGTTGCAGATTCTTTTGTTCTTGGGTTTTCGAGTCTATTTGGGAAATCTGTCATCGTTTCCTCAAAACCTTGGGGTTTGGTCTAGGAAGAGGAGAGAGATCCTGTTTGTTTGCTCAGGAAACTCCTTCTAAGGACATTTCTACTGTTCTTCTTCCCAGCCCTGTTTGGGAATCTGTATGTGATCGGGAAGTAGTTAGGAGGCCTTTTTTAGACTCCTATTTATTTCCAGTCTTTTTTGCCTGATCCAGTGCCTAAGCTTTTCAAAACCAACATATTTATCGCATGTATATTTAGTAAATATTTGAGTGTGTGTTATGTGCCAGTGCTCCATTTGGTGCTTAGGGTACGTGGATAAGACACGGACTCTAACATCAAAGAGCTTATAACTTAATGTGTTAGCTGAGCGAGTAAATTGAATTTTAAGGAAATATTTCTATAATGTGTTTTTAAACTTTTTGTAGAGGAAACATTTTGCTCAGAGAATTCCCAACTGACACCTTGTTTGATGTGAATGCCATCGTTGCTCATGTACTCTTGTAAGTACAGGGGGTACTCATTTACTTAATCATTATTGCTTTTATTTTAGAGGACCACAATCCATTACAGTATTTTAAGGTTTTAACATTGTATTTGTAGGCTTCAGTTTCATACAAATTGCTGGTACATCTTCCTACATTGAGAATCTAAAATTTGTTTCATGACAAAGGATACTCTGTGTAAAAGTAGACGACTCAACAAGACTGTATAATTGTATAATTGCTTTTGATTCTTCCAAAGGAGTGAAGATTTACCAGCTATCTTAGTCGGTTTGGACTGCCACAGACTGGTGGCTTGTAAACAATGAAAATTTATTTTTCAGAGTTTTGGAAGCTGGGCAGTTCAAGGTCAAGGCATTGGTAGATGTTGTATCAGATGAGAGCCTCTGCTTCATGGTAAAAAGCCATTTTCTCCCTGTGTCCTCACATTTTTTTTTTTTTTTTTAGACAGGGTCTCACTGTAGTTGAGACTGATCTAGAACTCACCATGTAGCCCAGGCTGGTCTTGAACTCCCAGTGATCTTCCTGCCTCAGCCTCCTGAGTGCTGGGATTACAGGCGTGGGCCACCATGCCTGGCTCTGTGTCCTCACATGTTAGACCTGCATCTCTGGTGACTCTTAATTTACTTACTTGTTTATTGTTTTGGTACCAGGGATTGAACTCGGGTCCTTGCAATTGTGGAACCACTGAGCTAAATCCTCAGTCCTGAGGACTCTTTTATAAGGGTAGTAATCTCATGGCTAATCACTTCCTGAGGATCCTGCCTCCCAGCCCATCATTTTGGGGGTCAGGATTTCAAAATAATTTAGAAGGTCACACATATCCATAGCATCAGGTAAGAAGCTCATCTTTGCTTTTTACATTAGGATTTTAAAAGTACTTGGTTTCCTTCTGACACTAGCCTGATTTTTCTGGAGTCTAGCTCTGTGTCTTCTTGTAAGTGCAGAAAAAGTTCTGCATGCACTTGATTTTTTTACTAAGAGTGAATCTCACATTCTCCTGGCATGGAATTTTACATCCAGGATTTAGGCTTATGTGAGCTCTGTTTCTGCGGTCTACTTTGAAATGAAGTCTGGTGTTGTCATTGATGGCAAAGCTAGACAATGTGTATTTTTAAGGTTACAAGTTTAAAGGGGCTTTACTGATTTAATGTTGTAGGTCTGTTGTCCACTAAAACCTTTGTTGACATTTACTATCTTTGTTTTCTGTTTGGCTGTACATGTCCTCCTCCTGTCCTGCCCATATAATTTGAGTAAAAATTAAGTTGCAGGAAATTCAAAATTTGGAGGTGAGAAGTTCTGGGTATCACTTTACAAATGGACACTTTTAAATATTCTAGTCCTAGTAATATATTATCAAAAGGTCTTCAGGAATCCTTGGAAACCATGGGCCCTAAGACGTACAGTCTAAGAAGCCAGGTGTACTTGGTGAAAGGTGGCTTTTTGGCTGCTTTGAAATCCCTTTCCTAGGACAGAGAAGGGGTGGCTCTCTTGACCATAGGGGTCAAGTGGAGCTTAGCAAAAAATCCAAGTAATAACTATGTTATTTGTTCTCAGGAACTTTATTGGTTTTGCTGTTTTTTTTCCAGTAGGCATTTGGTAACTGTCTTTGACCCAGAAATGAGGGTGAAGAAACAGGGAGTAAAGACTTTGAGGGATGGTGTGCATTATCTTTCCATAAAGTATGAACCCAGGTTTGACACCAAATCCCACAGTGGTAGATCCACCTTGGACAACTTTATGCGCGGATGGTTTTAAAATAGTTGGACCCTAGATAAGGATGGGCCATCAGTGGTGGAAGACCCTGTTTCCTTAACTGCTTAGCAGGTGGGGTTTGTCCCATGCATTCCTGCTGTGGTCCTGGCCTGTTGCTGGTGTGTATTAGGGCTGATGTATAGAACACAAATAGACAGATAAATAAATAAATAAATAAAGTCTCCTTGTTCCTGCTGTGTGTCAGACACTTGTTAGGCATTGGGACACAAAACAATAGGATGTGGCTTCTGTTCTTTAGGAATTTAGTGTTTGTTGCAGAGATGGACATAGAAGTCTCTGGTAAGTCAAGTGGTAGAGAGATGTATTCATGATGGCCAGTGGATCCACAGAGAAAATAGTTACTCATATCTAGAAAGAAGGTAGCTTCCTGAAGAAGACAGGTCTGAGGAGAAGTCTTTGGCAAAGAAGGGGAAGTTATGAAAAGTAAGGGAAAGTGTGACAAGAGCATGGAAGTTGGAGATAGTTTGTAGAGGTTAGTTTTGTCTGAGTATAAAATGTGCAGGAGGAGATGAGTGAGGAAAGCGTGAGGTCAGACGAAGGGGCATCTCTGTTTACGTTCTGTAGAGCTGTGGGTTTTTGCGTAGCCCAGAAGGGGGAAGTGTCCATTTCCAAAGCACAATCCTTGTGTGATCCTTCAGTCCTGATCATAGGCAATAACAAGATTGGCTTAGCAGGCCTAAGCAGGGAGCTGTACTCATCTTGCCACACTTGGTGTACAGCCAGTGCATTGAGATTCTTTGGAGATAATTGAGGTCAAGGATGTGGCCCTTCCCCACCTCCAGCCTTTTGGGCCAGCTGGGCTCATATACACAGCTGCATTCAGAGCTCAGGTGGTGCATTCTGAGGCCTCCTCGCTCAGACCTTGGCTGTGGTGCCTCCCAGGTGCTTCTGCTAAGAGCTTGTTATCGGGGTTCTGTGGTGGAGACATTTCTGAGTCAGTACCTTTCCATTCCAAACCCTTACTCTGCTTTTCTCCACAATGTCCATCAGTTCTTAAGGGTGCGGGGGTCTAATGCTTGGAACTCCTTGGAATAAGATGATTCCTTGTGTCTGCTTTACATCTACCCAGCTCTTGCCTGGTGCCATTCTGTGGGGTGAAGAATGGACTAGTGTGGAGCTGGTACCTCTCTTTAGGTCTTGTTTGTATTGTCACATAAGTGAATAAAGTCTTTTTTTTTTTAAGTTTAGCTAACAGTCAGACCCAGGACCTCCTTTGTGCTTCCTTTTTTGTTCAGAATATAAGAAAATAACTAATGGAATACAGCATTTTACAAAAATTCTTAGTAATAATATTTAGAATATTGAAGAACTGGGCCAAATAGCTTGCTGTATAATAGCTGTACCTTGCAATTGCCATGACCAAAGAATTGGCCATGAAATGCCTTTCTGTTTATTTTCCTATTTGTGTGTGCTAAAACTGTGAGTTTGAAACTGTGCTTGGCAAGTGGTTTCTGTCTTGTACTCATTTACATTTGTATTTTGTTCATAGAAATGAAATTGAACTGTTGGATATCTTTTGCTCATTTTTTCTATTGTTTTAAACTTTATTATTATTACTTTCTCTATATAAAAGAAGATACACAATTTCTTTTCAATTTCCCAAATGTGTGCTCTTTAAAAATAGGTGGTCAAATTTACGTTCTTTGACTTCTAAATTTTTAGTTGTACATGTACAGTTGTTTCTCTTATGCCATTTTTATAAAGAAATTTACCCATTTGTGGGGTTTTTAATTGGTAGATTTATTTGAACCAATTTAGATTTACGTAAAATCATGCAATTTATAGGAGCAGATAGTACAGAGAAGTCCCATGTTCCCTTTCTCCTTCATATATGGTTTTACTTGTTAACACTTGTATCTGTGTGGTACAGGTGTTAAATTGAGGAACAACCAGATGTGGTGGCTTAAGCCTATAAACCCAGCACTCGGGAGGCTGAGGCAGGAGGTGGTCAGTGTTAATTTGAGGTCAGACTGGGCTATGTAATGAGTTTAAGGCCAGCCTGAGCTATATAGCAAGATCCTGTCTCAAAAACAAAAAAACACAAAAACTGAAGAACAAATACTGACACATTATCGTTACAGTGTGTGGTTGAACTTACTCTTCATGATGATTTCCATCCTGTACATTTTGATGAATGCACCATGATATGTCCACTATTAGAGTATCATACATGATAGTTTCATTGTTCTAAAAATCTCTTCTCCCTAAACCACTAATGTTTTTACCCTCTCCAAGTTTTGCCTGTTATATTTTTTCTATGGTTGGAATTATACAGCATGTAGCCTTTTCAGATCTTACCTAGCAGTGTGTAAAAAACTGTGTCTTTTTGTGGTTCATAGTTTATTTCTTTTTATCACTGAATAATCCATTGTGTGGATATACTCTTGTTTATCCATTTATCTTCTGAATACCTTGGCTGCTTCCAAGTTTGGCAATTATGAATAAAGCTGCTATAAATATTCACATGTAGGTTTTTTATGTGGGTGTAAGTTTTCAACTCGAGTAATTATGTAGGGGTAAAGTTTGTGGATTAGTAAAACTATGTTTAATTTTGTAGGAAGCTGCCAAACTATCTTGCACAGTGGCTATGGCATCTTGCATTCCCACAGCAACGAGAGTGCCTGTTCCTCCACTTTCTTGCAAGCATTTGGTGTCATCTGTGTGTGTATGTGTGTGTGTGTGTGTGTGTGTGTGTTTGTACAGGGATTGAACAACTCAGGTCCTTGCTCTTGCAAGGCAGGCAGTGGAACCAGTAGGTGTCATCTTTTTAAAAAAATTTGTTCAAATTTTAACCATCCTAACAGGTGTGCAGTGGTATCTCTTGATGTTGAACATATTTTCATATACTGATCTGCCATGTGCATGTTTTTGGTGGGATGTCTGTTCATATATTTTGCCTATTTTTAAAAATTGGGTTATTTCTCATTGTTGAATTTTAAAGGTTACTTTGTACATTTTGGATATGGGTCTTTTGTTAGTACATGTTTTGCAGGTATTTTCTCCCAGACTCTGCCTTGGTTATTTTTTTTTCTCATTCTCTGAGTAATTTCTTATGTGGATCAGAGGTTTTTAATAATGAAAATTTCTTTTATAGATTGTGCTTTTGATGTTGATGTTGTTTCTTAAAACTCATCATAATCCTAGGTCACTAAGATTTTTATCTTTTAGGTGTTACAGTTTTATGTCTGCATTTAGGTCTATGATGCATCTTGACTTGCTTTTTG